TTTTTTTTTTTTTTTTTTTTTTTTTTTTTTTTTTTTTTTTTTTTTTTTTTTTTTGAAAAGTTTCATTAAACATTTTGTTTAGTTATTGCAAAATGGTCCTTTAATTTTATTTTATTTTTGTCATGGTTCTTTAACTTTATTTTCAATTTATTTCTTATATTTTATGGGCAATAATTAATTTTAAAAAAATCAATCTAATGGATATTATTTCTTAGCTTCAACCATTATATTCTTTAATAACTTGCCACATTATTTACCAATGACATGTAAGCTCAATGGTCAATTTCAAATTAAGATATAAAAAGGAAGGAAATGAAATTTTATAAGGTAGGATTAAAGAAATCTGACTTATTAATCGGAAAAATAAGACATTAATTATAATTTTAAAAGTCAATGATTAGTTTTACAATTACTCGAGTCTGTAGGAGATTCAAAAAATTGATGACCCGAAAACTCGATCAACCCAACCTTATTGAGACGAGGTCGAATTCAAATAAATAAAAAATTTATAAGTTGGATTGGTTTATAAGTTTCTCTAGATTAACGGAACCAATTTGAATTTGTTGTCAATTTAAATAAAAATACATTTTATTTTTATTAAAAACATAATTTTAAATAAAGTTTATTATTTAATAAGAGTTGTTTGGAACTTGAACAATTGGGTTCGTAACAACCCAGATCTACCGCTAGTAGATATTGTCTTTTTTGGGCTTACCCTCAAGGCTTTAAAACACGTCTGCTACAAGAAGGTTTCCACACCCTTATAAATGGTAGTTTGTTCTCCTCTCTAAACAATGTGGGACATCACAGAGTTTGCCTCAGCCCAACCAATGAACACCCCCAATGAACACCCATATTCGATGTCATGACAATTATTTTTATTGGTTCTCATGTGGTCTGATGGATGGTGTCACCTTTTTCTAGACATAGGGTCACAACCCTACTAACCAACCCTACTAACCACAATATAATCTCTTGTTAGTAGGGTTGTGACGTTTTCCCTCGTTTAAATTAGTCATCGACATCTTAAAAATAAAAAAACTATAGAAATGAAACAAAAATAAAAAGATTAAATTATTACAAAAAAAAAAAAAAAAGTTTATCCAAATACCAATAAATGTAAATCTAATTTTCGGTAAATTATTAAAAAAATAAAAGGTTAAAAATTAATTTTTAATCCAATTAAATTAATTTGGTGGCTTAAAACAGCCATTTTCCATTCAAAAAATATATTGGGAGTTAGTGTGTGAATTGAGGCTCTAAGGGAAAGCTTAGCTTCAACCTTTCATATTGCCTTCCCTTGAATTAAACCCTAACGTTCTTTCTCCGCCGATATAATTATCCCACCGGAATAACGATCTTTCATCATCGGGAAACTGAAATCCTTTCTGAACAATCGGCCATGGCGATTTCTCTAACAAAATCCTTCGCGATTCCTCTGTTCCTCGCAATGTGTTCGACGATTTTCCGGATCGGAAGTTCGGCTGTATTCGATTATCCGGCAGTCTTCAACTTCGGCGATTCGAACTCCGACACCGGCGATCTCGTCGCCGGCAAAGGATTTAGCCTGAGTTTGCCTTACGGACAAAATTACTTCAAAACTCCTTCGACTGGAAGGTTCTGCAATGGCCGCCTCATCGTTGATTTTCTCAGTAAATTTTCTTCCACTCCATACTCTTCGCTTTTATAATAAATAGTTACCTTTTATTGTGATGGAGAAATCTCTCTTTAGTAGACTTATTTTAAAATTATGAGATTCACAAGGATAAATAACGAACCAAAATAGATAGTATCTATTAATGATGGGCTTGAGCGGTTACAAATAGTATTAGAGTCAAACACCGGCCTGTGTGTTAGTGAGTATGCGGCCTCTAAAAGGGTGGATTGTGAGATCACATGAGAACTAAACATTTCGTATAAAAGTGTGGAAACCTCTTCATAGTAGACGGGTTTAAAAATCTCTACTAGCTGTGACCTCAAACTCTTATCTAAAATGCTGTTAAGTGGATCCTGACTACCCAATTTTAATATATTATTTTAAAACTTAAAAATTTATTTTTATTTACTTCTAGATAATTTTTTGTTTTAGAAAAATTAAAATATCTGTCCATACATTGATATAGATAGATCGAGAAACAAAGAAGAAAATTAAAATAATATTCAAAATGCGAGAGAAAAGAATAAGAAATTGTCTGAGTCATAGGTTGAAGTCAGGGAAAAGAGAGAAAATTGTAAAGAAATATATATGAGACGTAAATAATCACCGTTTTCGTCTATATAGTAACTATAACGACTTTTTAATTTTTAGTTTTTTTAAAAAAAGTAAGGATATTAATATTATTTTGAAAGAGTTGAAACGTATATTTACGATTTCGTCTATATACTAATAGTAATCTCGGGATGTGTTTTTGGTGCAGTGGATGCGATGGATATGCCGTACTTGAATCCGTATCTAGATTCGGTTGGCGCGCCAAGTTTTCGGAAGGGGTGCAATTATGCAGCGGCAGGGTCCACTATTCTTCCGGCAGCTGCTACGGCTGTCTCCCCTTTTTCCCTTGGGGTTCAGTTGAATCAGTTTCTCCATTTCAAAGCGAGAGTTCTTGAGCTTCGAGCCGTCAAAGGTAATTTTGCTATCGTTCTACCCCTTGTTTGAGTTCGATCAAGTTTAAATGTTTACATAATTGTAATTGTTCGAGTTATCCAAAAACTGTTATTAAATAATAAATTTAACTCAACACAGATTAATCATAAATCTTTTTGAGTTAAATTGAGTTGATTCTGATGGTTCAGAATTTAAATTTTAAGATGTTAATTCAAACCGTATTTATTTATTTTAAATATTTAATTAAGATAAACCCAATTAGATTATAAAATTTTTGGGTTGGGTTGGATTGGGTTGTTCCAGCCATTTATTAAAAAAAAAAAAATGATAAAACATATATTTATTTATTTTCAAACATTTGATTAGGTTGAATTGAGTCGAACTATAAAATTTTGGGTTGAGTTGATTTATTTAATTTTTTTTAATAAAAATAAAATATTAATTTATTTATTTTTAGAGATTTAATTTAAGATGAATCCAATTTTATTCCAATTTTTTTAGTTGGATTGGTTCAGTTGTTTGAATTATTTATTCAAATTTTTATTTTTAATAAAAATAAAATATTTATTTTATTTATTAATTAGCAACTCAATTTTAATTTATATTTTGAAAAATTATCTTTCAAATAGTTAAAAAATTATTTTTGGGATGGTTGAAGAATAAATAATAATAATAAAATAATTATGAAATTAAATAGAAATCAAGATAAAATAAATATATCTACATGTCTAATAGTATAGTAAGCATTTTTTTTTTAAATTCACAGTAAATTCGAGCTGGTTAAGTTTAAAATAGTCTGGTTTTAGCATAGTCTATGAACTAATCTGATCTATAATATTTTTATTTATTGGAACCTAATCCAACTCAAATAAGTTCATAACCCAATTCAATCCGAAAGAATTGATTTGGAATAACTGAAATTTTCGAGTTATCGAGTTTTTACGAACATCCCGAGATGGGTTGTGTTGCTGTATAGGTGGTAAGAAGCTTGATAAATACCTACCGGATGAAGATTACTTCCAAAAGGGGCTATACATGTTCGATATTGGTCAAAATGATCTTGCTGGTGCATTTTACTCCAAAACCCTCGACCAAATTCTTGCCTCGATACCAACCATTTTAGCTGAGTTTGAGAATGGAATTCAGGTTAGACCAATGGTTTCTTCCTATAGTTAGTTTTGAATGAAAACCGTTAATATTTGACGTTTTTGAAAATACTCTTACTATTGCTATATGGACTGAGTACTACGTTTCAAAAATACTAATGAACTATTAGATGTAACATTAATATTATTAACCATTTTTCAATCTCTTATGAATCATCTCTCTGTCTGATTTTCTCTCTCCTCTAGTTTAACCTAGTGAGGGTAAAACTATTTTTAACTTTTTTTAAAAAAAATTTAAAATTTTTAATGCTACTCTTCAAAATTTATAGTTATTTTTAATCCATGATACTATCAGTTCTGTCCGTATACTAAAGATACGAATAAAAAAGTTGAAAGGGTATAAATGTAATTTTGAAAGTTGAAAACACTCAGGAAAATGCAATAATATTTTTTAAACGAAATATTATCGATTTTCATCCAAAACTAACGATAAAGAAACTTTTGAAAGTTTTAAGAGTATTTTTTAACTGTTCAATCGTCCCTTCGCTATGCCTATTTTTCAGCAACTGTACAATGAAGGGGCCAGGAATTTTTGGATACACAACACAGGTCCCCTAGGATGCTTAGCTCAGAACGTTGCTAAATTTGGAACCGACCCATCAAAGCTCGATGAATTTGGATGCGTCACGTCGCACAACCAAGCTGCCAAGCTCTTCAATCTACAGCTTCATGCTCTCTGTAAGAAACTGCAAGGCCAATACACCGATGGAACGGTCACATACGTCGATATCTATTCGATAAAGTTGAATCTCATCGCCAATTATTCACAGCTCGGTCGACCATCTTGCTCTACTTCTGTCCATATATAGTTTCGGTTAATCCTATAAAATCTTGATGACTTGCAGCATTGGTGTATGGCAGGGTTTGAACAACCTATCATGGCTTGCTGTGGCTACGGAGGTCCACCTCTAAACTACGACCGGGATATCGGCTGTGGACAGACGAAGACGTTGAATGGGACGACAGTCACGGGAAAAGGGTGCGACAATAGCTCGAAGTATATCAATTGGGATGGAATTCATTACTCAGAAGCTGCGAATCAGTTTGTGTCGTCACAAATACTCACCGGGAAATATTCCGATCCACCCTTCGACAACAAATTGGCTTTACCTCTAGAGTTCAAGTTCTAGTGGCCTTGAATTCATTACACAACTGAGATCTGATAATGGCTATGAACAATGGATCTTATGTTTAGACATGGAATCAAATAATTCATTAATAAAAAATAGTGAGGCTTTTAAATATTTAAAAATATTATGAGATCTCGAATCTCTCTCTAATAGGTGTGTTTTAAAACCTTGAGACTGACAGTGATACGCAACGAGCCAAAATGGACAATATCTGTGTGATGTCTCACATTGGTTGGGGAGGAGAACAGAACATTCTTTACGAAGGTGTGGAAACCTTCTCCTAGCAGACCCGTTTTAAAAATCTTGAGGGGAAGCTCGAAAGGGAAAGCCCAAAGAGGACAATATCTGCTAGCGGTGGGCTTGGGCTGTTACAATCTGTTAGCGGTAGACCTGAACTGTTACAAATGATATCAGAGTCAGACACAGGACGACAATGGGCTTGGGCCATTACATTCTGCTAGCGATAGACTTGAACTGTTACAAATGATATTAGAATCAGACACAGGACGACGGTGGGTTTGAGCCGTTACAATCTGCTAGCGGTAGACTTGAACTGTTACAAATGATATCAGAGTTAGACACAGGACGGTATGCCAGCGAGAACGCTGGGTCCCCAAAGGGGGTGGATTGTAAGATCCCACATCGATTTTTTTCGTTTTAAAACAATGAGGGACCCAAGGGGGGTGAATTGTAAGATCCCACATCGGTTGGAAAGGAGAACGAAATATGAAAACCTCTCCCTAGTAACGCGTTTTAAAACAATGAGGTTGACGGCGATACGTAACTGGCCAAAGCGGAAAATATCTGCTAGCAGTGGGCCTAGAACTGGCCAAAGCGGACAATATCTGCTAGCAGTGGGCCTAGAACTGGCCAAAGCGGACAATATCTGCTAGCAATAGGCTTAGACTGTTACAAATGATATTAGAGCTAGACATTGGACAGTGTGCCAGCAAGGGCGCTGGGCCCGAAGGGGGTGGATTGGAGAGGGGAATGAGACATTCCTTACAAGGGTATGGAAACCTCTCCTTAGTAGACACGTTTTAAAACCATAAGGCTGATAGCGATACGTAATAGACCAAAGTAGACAATATCCATTAGCGGTGAACTTAAACTGTTACATAAACAAGAGATGTAGACAGAGACAAGGAAAGCTTCCCGGTCTCCACTCTCCATCCCGTGGACATCTCTATATACCTTATCAAAAGAGAAAAAACGAGTTCAAGTTTGACAACAATCATATAAGAACAAAGGGTACCACATTAATCAAGCACCACTCATCACTCAGCATACCCATTTCAAAGTACAATTCTTACAAAAATGTATACACAAATCTAGCTGTCTCTCTGCCAACTGGGGGACTTACCAAAAGCTTCCTCCTGTCCGTTCAAGAGATTGAAGGGTCACTCACAATCAAACAATTCTCACAAATTAAGTTTAAACAATCTGTAGAAACAGCAATAGGATCTTAAACGTCCGTTTGTTTCGCAAGAAACCGAGTTTTCATGGAAAGAAATGAACGAAGAAAGTGTTCCAATCCAACCTAATCAAACTAAGATCATAGTTACAAAAGGTCGAGTGATGTTAAAATGAAGTTCATTAAGGCCTAGTGGTCGTAGAATAGTTTACTTCATGCTCATCGTAACGAAGATTTTAGGTTCGATTATATTCTCTAGATATTGAACACTACGATAATTTAGTTCAGCATATCATGTCAACTCAATCAATATTAATGTTACGAGCATGTCGTTAACGGTATTAATTTAGCAGCTAAATACGAGCATCATCAAGAGTTAAGGAACATAAATCATATTTTTTTTGAAGTTTACGGATTAAATAGGCACAATATTCAAAGTTCACGATATAAATTTATAATTTATTCGAGATTTTATATGATATTCAATTCATGAGTGTAAAGTTTTGGGGAGTACTCACAAGCTAATGAAAATAACTTGATCAGCAATTGATTATAGCACGGTTAGAGATATAGCAGCAGAACGGAGTTTTATGCCATCTTCATCCCATTTGGACAATGGTGCGGTTGCTCCGGCAACAAACGCCTACGACAAAGAAGACGATATGTCAAGATAAATTGGACGAGTTTGTAACTGCCCAAGCCTACCGCTAGCAGATATTGTCCTCTTTGGGTTTTTCCTTATGGACTTCCTCTCAAGGTTTTAAAATGCATTTCCTAGGGAGAGGTTTCCACACCCTTATAAGAAGTGCTTCGTTCTCCTCTCCAACCGATATGGGATTTCACAATCTCATCCCCTTGGGAGCCCAACGTTCTCGCTGGCACACCGCTCGGTGTCTGGCTCTGATACCATTTGTAACAGCCCAACCTCTTTGGACTTTCCCTTCTAGGCTTCCCCTCAAAGTTTTAAAACGCGTTTACTAGGGAGAGGTTTCCACACCCTTATAAGAAATGCTTCGTTTCTCTCTCCAATCGATGTGGGATCTCACAATTCACACCCTTTGGGAGCCCAACGTCCTCGTTGGCACACCGTTCGGTATCTGGTTCTGATACCATTTGTAATAGCCTAAGCCCACCGCTAGCAGATATTGTCCTCTTTGGGATTTCCCTCAAGGTTTTAAAATGCATTTTCTATGGAGAGGTTTCCACACCCTTATAAGGAATGCTTTGTTCTCTTCTCCAACCGATATGGGATCTCACAATCCACCCCCCTTGGGAGCGCAGCATTCTCGCTGGCACACCGCTCGACGTCTGGCTCTGATACCATTTGTAACAGCCCAAGCCCACCACTAGCAGATATTGTCCTCTTTGGACTTTCCCTTCTGGGTTTCCCCTCAAAGTTTTAAAATGCGTTTTCTAGGGCGAGGTTTCCACACCCTTATAAGGAATGTTTCGTTCCTCTCTCAAATCGATGTGGGATCTCACAATCCATCCCCTTTGGGAGCCCAGTGTCCTCGCTGGCACACCGTTCGGTGTCTGGTTCTGATACCATTTGTAACAGCCCAAGCCTACCGCTAGCAGATATTGTCCTCTTTGGACTTTCCCTTCTGGGCTTCCCTCAAGGTTTTAAAACGCATCTTCTAGGGAGAGGTTTCCACACCCTTATAAGAAATGCTTCGTTTCTCTCTTCAACTGAGGTGGATATAAAACTCTACACATATCAATGAGTAAGACCTTTGGCATGAACAATTTAACTTTGAATCAACTCTTATTCATACAAGTTCTACCATTTTATAATTTCATCCAAATGTCATAAAGCAAGTGAAATGGCTCAAACTCAGGTCTTCATCAGAGTAAGAAGTTTAGTATGTAAGGTAAATTGTATATCACAAACCTGTCCACTATTAACAGTTGCTACTAACGCGACGTGTTCTTCGTTCTTCCCAAACTCGTAGAAGTAATACGTCCTGAATTTAACGAAACAGAGGTAATCAAATGGAAATATGAAAGCTTATATAGGCAAAGAAGACTAGATCTAGATTATTATTTCATAGCATTGTTTATGTTCTTGAGTGTGAGTTAGGATCCACTAACTTCAACAACTGTCTAACCCTATCATACTTGGTTGCCAAGAAAACTCGTAGAATATAAACCGCAGGTTCATGGCTACAATAGCTTGAACTCATTCCATCTAAACCTTAAGACGGTTGTCTAACCCTATCATACTTGGTTGCCAAGAAAACTCGTAAAATATAAATGTGATGTCCCACATTGGTTGGGGAGGAGAACAAACCACCATTTATAAAGGTGTGGAAACCTTCCCCAAGCAGACGCGTTTTAAAGCCTTGAGGGCGAGCCCGAAAGGGAAAACCCAAAGAGAACAATATTTGCTAGCGGTGGATCTAGGTCATTACAAATGGTATCAGAGCCAGACACCGGACGATGTGCCAACCTTCTTGCTGTTCCTCGAAGGGGGGTAGACACAAGGCGGTGTGCTAGTAAGGACGCTGGGCCCCAAGGGGGGTGGATTTGGGGGCGGTTCCACATCGATTGGAGGAAGGAAAGAGTGCCAGCGAGGATGCTGGGCCCCGAAGGGGGGTGGATTGTGATGTCCCACATTGGTTGAGGAGGAGAACAAACCACCATTTATAAGGCTGTGGAAACCTTCCCCTATTAGACGCGTTTTAAAGCCTTGAGGGCAAGCCCGAAAGGGAAAGCCCAAAGAGGACAATATCTGCTAGCGGTGGATCTGGGTTGTTACAATAAACCTCCGGTACATGGCTACCATAGCTTGAACTCATTCAATCTATCGCTCAATGATGGACTCTTTGGTGTACCGACACTTCCTATTTTGTGGAACAATCGATCCGCCCTTTAGATAGCTTGTGAGCCCTTTGAGAGGCGTGTTCTATGGTTAGGTTTCTTCCTTTCTAGAGTTTTGATTTCTAAGGATTTCTATAACTAGCCTTTGCCTCTTCTTCTCAACAACCACAGCCATTTTCGTAATCTCAAGTCGACTTTCTTTCTACAAGCTCTTTCTAAAGTGGGCTTTTCTTCATTTTGTTTATCCAATTCCATTGTTTCATTGATCTGAATCAAAGCTCGAAAAGATACAAATAAATCGAACTAGCAAAGGACGCCTTGGTAGCATAGTTACCTGAAACCTTCATCGTCCTTAATTTTAAACGTTCGGGCCGAAAATAACGTTGCACCACCTATCATTGTCAGAACACCAAAACCAATAGCTAGAATGAGATGTGTAGCCAAATGACCACAAAAAAGTTACTTAGCATATTGAACACAAAATGTGTACCTGGAACAAAGATTTTTGCAGCCTCCCTCAAGGAACCTATATCAGTTATATCTTTCGCCTGTTTTTCGCAAGAAAAAACGAAAAGCTCCTAAAACCGTTATCCATAAAACACGAACATAACTCAATAAGCACGTACGTAGAACTAAAACAGAATCTTTTTATCAAAGTTTGTGACTAGAAACTTCAAAAACCTCTTTGGGAAGCTCAGAGTTAACAGTAAGCAAACAATCTTGGGCTTAAAAGCTCCAAAACATGACTTAACAGTTTAAGATTTGATGGGGATTTTCTCTAGGTAGAGCTTCTTAGTACGAAAGAGCCACCGAGCTTAGAAACGGTTTGCTAGATATGAACTATTTAGTAAGAAATTGATGCTCTTTAGAATTACCAAATGAAAACTTCACAGCCATCATTGTGCTACCTCTAGAAAGGTGATCTTAAGCTGATTCGTTGGACGAGTGACAACGCTTAGAACTTCAGAGCTGTGTTAACGAACAAAGCAGAATGAATATAAGCCAAATACATAAAGCAAACAATATGAACTAAGAAATATCATTACCCATCAGGAGATCCAAACCGAGCTGCGAACGTTTTCGTTTTTACCTTATCTCCATAAAGAGAGAGTCCAGCATTGAAATCCTACAAGCCCCAAGCACATAACTTAGCGAGCTGCAAATGATAAGCCTTTTACAAGTACAAGGAAAGGCCACAGCTACCGAGCATAAGGGAATAGTTATAAGAATGCCTAAAGGTAGGAGAGGAGTTGAACAAAGATATAGTCTAATTAGTAGCTGTTGTTTCTTTACATGAAGATCACATCAAGCTCTTGTGTGGAATACACTAATAAAATCAAGAAAAAATTCAACGCATGCCCACTGCGGAGATATTGTTCTTTTTGGACTTCCCTTCGAGTTTTCCCTCGAGGTTTTAAGACATGTCTGCTAGGGAGAGGTTTCTACGCCCTTATAAGGAATGCTTCATTCTCCTCTCTAACTGATTTGGGATCTCACAATCCACCTCCCTTAAGGGCCCAAGGTCCTCGCTGGCACACCGCCCGGTCCCAAACCCACCACTAGCAGATATTGTCCTATTTGGGTTTTCCCTTTAGGTTTCCCCTCGAGGTTTATAACGCGTTTGCTAGGGTGAGGTTTCTACACTCTTATAAGTATTGCTTCATTCTCCTCTCCAATCGATGTGGGATCTCACAATCCACCCCCTTGGGGCCCAACATCCCCGTTGGCACACCGCTAGTAGATTAAGCCCATTGGTCCACACAGTTGTCCATGTACCAGTATTGTCCTCTTTGGGCTTTCCCTTCAGGTTTCCTCTTAAGGTTTTAAAACGCGTCTGCTAGAGAGAGGTTTTCACACGCTTGTAAGAAATGCTTCGTTCTCCTCTCCAACCGATGTGGAATTTCACAATACACCCCCCTTGGGAACCAACGTCCTCATTGGCACACCACCCAGTACCAAGCCCACCGCTAGCAGATATTTTCCTCTTTAGGCTTTCCCTTTAGGTTTCCCCTCAAAAAACGCGTATGCTAGGTAGAGGTTTCCACACCTTTATAAGGAATGCTTCGTTTTCCTCTCCAACCGTTGTGGGATCTCACAATCCACCTCCTTGGGGACCCAACGTCCTCGTTGGCACACCGCCCTGTGCCAAGCCCACCACTGGCAGATATTGTTCTGTTTAGGCTTTCCTTCCGGGTTTCCCCTCAAGGTTTTAGAACACGTTTGTTAGGGAAAGGTTTCCACACCCTTACAAGGAATGCTTCGTTCTCCTCTCCCACCGATGTGGGATCTCACAGTCCAAGAACCCCGAAATGGCCAGAACCTGATACCGAACGAAATCTGACTCTGTTTCTCAACCCCACCTAGCAACGCCAATTAATAATTCTAAAGCCTGAAGTTAGAATTCCCCATCAAAACATTAAGGGGTATTCTCAAAGCCCTGAAGCTGGAGCCTTCTGCTTAATGCCATTGACATTAACAGCAACTAAACATGTGTGTTTCCAAACAAATATGAAGCGTAAATAACCTTAAACTATTGGTGGAAGCAGAGGTAACACACACAACACTACGATTAAACAAACAGAAACCAGTGAGGTATTTTGTTCATACCTCAGGCTCCGTGAGGTCTTCAAACTGAGGCGGCACACGGATGGAGAACCCATCACCATAAAACTGAAACCAAGACTTTGTATTTGCAAGGCCAGGAAGGCCTTGTTTCGAAGTAGGCGAAATTTGGGAAGATTGGGCAACTGGGCATTTTGGAATCAATGAAATTAGACAGAGTGAAGCCGTTTTGAGGATGAAATGTCTCTTGGAATTGGAATTCAGCGTTGTAGGCTCGTGAAATCCGACGGTGGTCGGGTGGGGGACGGCGGCGGTGGGGTTTTGCTGAAGGTTTGGAGGGTGGAGGCATAAAGAAAGAAGAAGGGCCATAGGGAAATTAGGATAGCTTTCATATCCAATGTAGATAAAGCTGATTTATTTTATTTACAAATTACAACGAGGATGGCTTCATAATACTTTAAAACTCTGTCCAATTACAAGTTACACAAAATTGGCTTAATCTTTTAGCTTTTTTAGGAGCGTAAGCAACAATCTCATATACAAACTTAGGAGGTCGGAAATGGGTTCTCTCTTTTTTAGTAGATATCGAACTTATAGACGATGATCTCGAGTAATGTTGACATGTACAGAGAAACCCAGTTGATGATAAAGTATAATCGAACGGAAAAGGGACGTTTTCAAATGCTCATACTCTTTTGGTGGTATGAAAATAGTCTACTTTTAGGGGATCTTGTGACTCGTCTCGTGTTCTATCTACATGCTCGCTTGTCTCGTTTTGATAAGAGATATCCTAGACTCATTTTCAAGTAGGAATGAAATAATTGGTACGAACATGCTATATTACTTTATTTCTTTCTCATTATTTTCCCTCTCGAGCTACGTGTCACAATCACATTTTTTTTTTTTAGCAATGAATTTGTCGATGGTGCGATACTCACTCTCAGCACTGAGTGAGCCAAGCCAACTTAGGATTACATCGCCTACGGCGGGGCAGCGTATGCTTAAGTCTCTAGCCCTATTTCTACGAATAAGATTTTAGAAAATGGGGCAGAAATTTTTTTGAAAGCAAGATTGAGAGAGAAAAATTGAAAACAATGTTATATGACTACTACCTTAAGGAACACAATGACTTAAATAACATATTACTTTTTAGATATAGAGAATTTGACAACTAGTCGCACTCCCTAGAGTACATTTTGAGGCGATTCAGATCTAGTAGGCATAGACGTGATTTCGCAGAACGGTCATACAAAATCTAGGTGGGAGGAGTTGACGACTGATCACATCCCTTTATAGTACATTTTAGGACATTTCACGTCTATCAATCGTAAACATAATTCTATCGAAATGTATTGATATATAACGAGTATTAGAAAAGCAATAAAGTGGTACACGGCGAGAGTGTTGGTATATTGGATAACACGCCTTGAAGAATGAAAAAAAGGGTAAGAAATTGATCTTTGCTAAAGAAGAAAGAAAGTTGTGGGCAAGAGGATAGATGGGTCTTACATGAACGCTATCCATCCTCAAGAGTAGTTGTCCCTACCAAAGAAAATCCCAAACCACTCAATTCCTCATGGAACCAACACACCTTCAACCCCATTTCCCCTCTGCAATCCATGTCTCACCATATCTGAATCTCTCCATCTTCCCATGGAAACCATTCTCTCTCCACACACACTCTCTCCTCTCCTCAACCCCAAACCCTCCTCTCCCAAGAATCTCTTCCCTTATTCCTTCCAACCCAGAAGACATTTTGTTTCTTTCTCTAACCCCATTTCGTTCTCTCTCAAAAACCCCTCTCCCAAGTCTCTCCGATCATCGCTCCCAGTTCCCTCGAATTGGTTCTCCCATCTCCAACATGGGTTGGCGGCGCTAGCAATTTCTTTAGCGCTCAACTTTTCCCCATTGTTGGCCACCCACAATGCTCTGGCGTCTGAATTTGATGTGCTCAATGATGGGCCGCCGAAGGAGTCGCATCTAGTGGACGATGCTGGAGTTCTCAGTAGAGTCACGAAGTCGGATTTGAAGAGGCTGTTGACGGATTTGGAGTCGAGGAAGAATTTTCACATTGATTTTGTCACTGTTAGAAAGCTTACTGTAAGTCCTTCAAATTCTTGATAGAGAAACAAATCGTAGAACTCATGAAAATAATTTGATTTTTGTTATTGTGGGAAGAGAATTGTACTTTATGTTAGAGGAAATGTGTTAATAGGCTGATGATTGTTTATGAAGATTTGAAAATCTTACTGAAGAGTGATTATCAGAAAGTGGGTATCATATTGTGATGGATTGTTTGAAATGAAGGCTACCAAAACTTGGAATGTTTAGAGATATCACCTCTAACCTAAGGTCTTGGTTTAAGCTCTTTGGGGGAAACTTAGTAATCCTTCTTGTCTCTCAAGGTTGGTTTTGGTTGAGCAGTGCTTATCCAAAGAGGGGTAAGGTGGGCGGTAATGGTTGCAAACGGCAAGAAGTGGACTCGGGAATCTAATATAGTGAGATCTCACATTGGTTGGAGAGAACAACGAAGCATTCTTTATAAGGGTGTGGAAACCTCTCCCCAGTAGACGCGTTTTAAAAATCTTGAGGGGAAGCTTGGAAGGGAAAACAAACCCAAAGTGGACAATATCTGCTAGCGGTGGACTTGAGCTATTACAAATGGTATCAGAGTTAGACATCGGGCGATGTGCTTGTGAGGACGCTAGGCCCCCAAGGGGGGTGGATTGTGAGATCCTACATCGGTTGGAGAAGAGAACGAAACATTCTTTATAAGAGTGTGGAAACCTCTCCCTAACAGATGCATTTTAAAAACCTTGAGGGGAAGGTTGAAAGGGAAAGCCCAAAGCGGACAATATTTGCTAGCGATGTGTTTGAGCTATTATAAATGGTATCAGAGCTAGACATAGGGCGGTGTGCCAGCGAGGACACTAGGCCCCCAAAGGAGGTGGATTGTGAGATCCTACATCTGTTGGGGAGGAGAACAAAACATTCTTTATAAGGGTGTGGAAACCTCTCTCTAGCAGACGTGTCTTAAAAACCTTGCGGGAAGCCCAGAAGGGAAAGCTCAAAGCAGACAATATTTGCTAGCGGTGGGCTTGAGCTATTACAAATGGTATCAAAGCCAGACACCGGGCAGTGTGCCAGTGAGAATGCTAGGCCTCCAAAGGGGGTATATTGTGAGATCCCACGTCGATTGGGGAGAAGAACGAAACATTCTTTATAAGGGTGTGGAAACCTCTCCCTAGCAGACGCGTTTTAAAAACCTTGAGGGGAACTCCAGAAGGGAAAGCCCATAGCAGACAATATTTCCTAGCGGCGGGCTTGAGCTATTACAAATGGTATCATGGACAGACATTGGGCAGTGTGCCAGCGAGGATGCTAGGCCCTCAAAAGGGGTGGATTGTGAGATCCCACATCGGTTAGAGAGGAGAACAAAACATTGCTTACAAGAGTGTGGAAACCTCTCCTTACCAGACGCTGAAAGGGAAAGCCCAAAGAGGACAATACCTGCTAGCGGTGGGCTTGAATCGTTACAAAAATATATGAAAATGCCTAACGAAAAGATCTCTATGAACTCTGATATGAATTTATCAACTGCTGGATGCAGAGCAAAGCTGATGCGTTTGAGTATGCTGATCAAGTTTTGGAGCGTTGGTATCCCACTGTGGAAGATGGCAACAACAAAGGTATAGTTGTTCTTGTCACCAGTCAGAAAGAAGGAGCCATTACTGGTGGGCCTGCCTTTATCCAAGCAGTTGGAGAAAACATACTTGATGCTACAGTAACAGAGAACCTCCCAGGTACCACTTCCTCCACTTATGAATGTTATGTCAAATCTGTCATGAACGTTGAACAAAGCTCCCACTTAAAGCTGCTAATTTCCATCAGCTTCCTTAGCTAACAATCTCCACTGCCTCTTGCTCAACTTACATTGTAACACATTACAACTAATAGGTGCCTTAAGTGCATTGGTATCTTGTTGTTGAACTTAAAATCGAGTGTCTGCAATAGCCCAAGTTCACCGCTAGCACATATTGTCCGCTTTGGCTCATTACAAATCGCCGTCAGCCTCACAGTTTTAAAACGCATCTGCTAGGGAGAGGTTTCCACGCCCTTATAAGGAATGTTTCGTTCCCCTCTCCAACTGATATGGGATCTCCCAATCCACCCTTCTTGGAGGCCCAACGTCCTCATTGATACACCGCCTGGTGTTTGGCTTTGACACCATTTGTTATAGTCAAAACCCACCGCTAGTAGATATTGTCCGCTTTGCTCGTTACATATCGCTATTAGCCTCACGGTTTTAAAACGCGTCTGCTAGGGAGAGGTTTCCACACCCTTATAAGGAATGCTTCATTTCCCTCTTCAACCGATGTGGGATCTCACACTGTGTGTTTGATACGAGTCGCCCTTGCTTATAAGTTTCTCATTTTTTAAGGAAAAGTGTAAATAGCCCAAGCCCACCGCTAGGAGAAATTGTCGTTTTTGGACTCTCTTTCGAGCTTCCTCTCAAGGTCTTAAAATGCGTCTGGTAAGGAGAGGTTTCCACATCCTTATAAGCAATAAGCAGTGCTTTGTTCTCCTCTCTAACTGATGTGGGATCTCACAATCCACCCCCCTTGGGGGCCCAACATTCTCACTGGCACACCGCCCGGTGTCTGGCTCTGATACTATTTGTAACAGCTCAAGCCCACCGCTAACAAATATTGTTTTCTTTGGGCTTTCCCTTCTGGGCTTCCTCTCAAGGTTATAAAACGCGTCTGGTAGGGAGAGATTTTCACACTTTTATAAGCAATGTTTCATTCTCCTCTCCAACCGATATAAGATCTCACAATCCACTGAGCCCTTAAAGGGGATGGATTATGAGATCCCATATCGGTTGGAGAGGGGGACAAAACGTTTCTTATAAGGGTGTGGAAACCTCTCCCTAGTAGATGCGTTTTAAAATTGTGAGACTGACGGTGATACGTAGTGGGCCAAAGCGGACAATATCTTCTAGCGGTAGGCTTGAACTGTTACAAAAAGAAAACCACAAATGAACTGTTGTTGTTTTGTATTGCTACCCCATATATGGAGTGCTTTGTTCGAAGCATTTCTAACCCTATGTGAATTATGGTTGTAGATGTTAGTTTATGACAAAGTGCAGATTGAGTAAGATTGTTTATTATGCAACTGCAGTCTTAGCTACTGATGAAAAATACAATGAAGCCATATATAGCAGCGCGAAGCGGTTAGTTGCTGCCATCGACGGTCTTCCAGATCCGGGCGGTCCTTCGTTTAAGGAAAATAAGCGCGAATCTAACTTCAAATCACGAGAAGAGACAGAGGAGAAACGAGGTCAGTTTTCTCTTGTAGTTGGAGGTTTGCTGGTGATAGCCTTTGTTGTTCCTATGGCTCAGTATTATGCTTATGTATCCAAGAAGTAAAACAATCCTCTGTTTCCTTCACATTCGTATGTATAACCATAATGTTCTACAAATAGGATCGCTACAACATCATTTGCAACAAACCTGTTATAAACCAAGAGTTCAGCTTTTCATATAATTAGGGGTATTGGAGGTTCCACTCTTTGTACATGTTCATTGCGGAATAAGGAAGTTCCTTCTCGATTTTGCATACCAATTGGCTTACATTGCCTTTGGTAGGCAAACCATTGCCTTTGGGAGGCGAGACCTAATCATAACGCACAATCACGGTATAAATCTTGCTAAATCTAAACCTGTTCTAAAACATCGATACATTATGTGGTACACACATTCCAATCATAGGAAATCATAACATAACATATAAACTTCATTTATCTAAGGCATACTTGACGGTAACGAAGCGTTCATTGTAAGACCATGAAAACATTATGAGCCTAGATCGTAGGCGAGTCTACAAAATCTAGAAGCCTAGAGCTCCGGTACCTACTTAAACAACCCTATTTTTTTTTTATTAAGAACAAGATCACCATTACATGCATGACATGTCTGGTATGCGTATACAAATTTCTTCAAAACATTTCATAAACGATGCTATGGACTTAAGCGTACATAATAAATTCATTTACCACAACGTTATTAGCAAAATAACGAAAAATAAGGAATATAAATTTAAATAAAACAATGCAAACTCTTTGATTTAACCTTAGGGCTACTGCATCAAATATAACTACCCTAACTTCATTTCCGTAGCCTTCACAACGACGCAATCAGTTGTATAGGGGTGTCTTACCTTTACCTTAAAAAGAGGTAGTGTGTGCCTTACCTTTACGTACCCTGGGCCTGCATTTCACCTTACACACACTCACGCTATCGGAAACTACAGACGGAAAGGAGCTCGTATAATATCATGGGCAACATAAATATCATAACGTATGTGTCCGTACTAATCATAACAGGGAAGTATCTTGATGTACTTGAATGAAAAAATATATGAGGTCCCATAATATTAAATCATGACATATACTTATTATGCAAGTTATACCTCCATCCTTTTCAAGACATAACATCCTTACGAGACATACATGCGTAATACTTATCATATATTTCATGATTAACATACCTGAGTTTGTAATATCTCATAGGCATAGAGTGAACATATTAATATAGTTTACACGGCATGTCCAATGGAGGCCAATGCATCATACAAAATTAATTACATAACATAGTTTCGTAACATAACTTATCATAGTATAACTTATAACATAGAATAAAGAATGATAAAATAGTTGATCGATAATTCCGCTCACATGGGTCCTCAATAATACATTTCTTTCTCTATACTTCCATTTTATAAAATGAAAATAAATCCGAAGAATTGAAGAAGCCTTAGCAAACATGGAGGGAAGCTGTAGGGGTGTAATGGTTCGGGTTGGGTCAGGTTGAGAGATTTTTTTGACCCAACCCAAAAGTTCGGGTTGGTTGGATGGGTAACCCAACCCAACCCGAAACTTTTCACAACCCAACCCTCTATTTTTGGGTTGGGTTGTCCATTTTTTTTTTTTGTAAGTTTTATTTATCTACCATTTATAATTATTGGGATGTAATTTTAGATAAAATATATTAAAAGTTCACAAACAAATACGATCTATAATTATTCACAAAAAAAAAAAAAACAAATTCAATAAAAAACAACGAGCGAAAATTGTAACATATTAACATAGTTCAACATTGTCATAAAACGAAAGACAACTAAATACCGACATTTCTTGAAAATTGGTTAAAGTAACAAATATATAAGAATAGATCATAAAATAATAATAAAAAAATACGATTAGTTTAAAGATATGGTATATAACAAAAATAAAGCATATATAAAAATATTTTAATTGAAATATGCTTATTTCTTCGTGACCTAAGAGAGCTCTAAACTTTAGAAAATAAAAATATATATAAACTGTGATATAATAATGTTGCAACACATAAACAATAAATACATTAGAATTTAAAATATGCTTTAAAATTATATATATAATTTATGAACTTTGAAATAACGTATAAATCATAATTAATAAATCTTTCTATTATATAATAACTATGTATTTAAATGTGAATAGTTAATTAAAAATAATAATAAATGTATTAATAATTATATCTTAGCTTATTAAATTAAAAAAAAATATAAATAAACAAAGAAAAATAAAATAAAATAACAAAAAAAAAATTAAAAATAATAAAAAACAAACTTGTATTTGCCTGGCATCCAACTCAGGCAAACCTATTAATACAGAAGAATTCTTAATATATTTTATATATTTTATCTGATCAAATATATTTTTATTTGACTCGGGCCAATTGAAAGGTTTTGCACACGAACTCAAAACTAAACCGATTCAGTTTGAGTTCCAAAAAATGAACCTAATCCTATTCGAAATGCTAATCCAACCTAATTCAACCCTTATAGTTCGAGTTGGGTTAATTCGAGTTGTCGGATTGAATGTACACCCCTAAGAAGCTCTACCGAGTGAGCTAGGAACTCATTAAGAATCCAATGGTAATAATATAAATAATAATTAACATTATAACATATTAAACATGTTTCACATACATCTGCCGACAATACTTTTATAAAGTTGAGAAAATAAAAACAAGTGTGAACCACTAGGATTTGTACTTTTATGCTTCCTTTAGTTATGATGTTAATGGTAGGGCCTCAAAGAAATTACAAGGTAAAGGTAAAGGTAAAGAGAAGTGATAAGACTATACAAAGCCAAACGTTTGATTCGCTACTTTCTCGATACATGCTTATCCATTTTTGCTCTCTAATCTTCAAATTGTTTCTTCATCGTTTTCAATTTTATTTTGTGTGCCTTGCTTTTCGATGGATTCTTCCATTGCTATGACAGAATCATCGGCTCTTTCTCCAAATTTGAAGTGGAGTTACGATGTGTTTTTGAGTTTTAGAGGAGAGGATACTCGATCTAACTTCACCAGTCATCTTGACATGGCCTTACGGCAAAAGGGTGTCAACGTCTTCATTGATGACAAGCTCAATAGGGGTGAGCTAATCTCTGAATCCCTTTTTCGATCTATAGAGGAAGCTTTGATTTCTATTGTTATATTCTCTGAAAATTATGCATCTTCTTCTTGGTGTTTGGATGAATTGGTGAAAATAATCGAATGTAAGAAATCCAAGGGCCAAATAGTTTGGCCAATTTTCTATAAGGTGGATCCATCAGATGTACGAAAACAAACCGGAAGTTTTGGAGAAGCATTAGCCACACATCAAGCTAAGTTCGAGACGAAAATTCAAATTTGGAGGGAAGCTTTAACTACTACCGCCAACTTGTCTGGTTGGGATCTCGGAGCTAGGTATATATTTCTAAGAAATTTAACTCCCTCTACTATTACATCCAATATCTATCATCTTTAATTTCAATATGATTACATGATTAACCACAGGAAGGAGGCTGATCTTATTCAAGACCTTGTTAAAGAAGTATGGTCGATATTAAATCTTACTTGCACGCCCTTATATGTAGCAAAATATCCGGTTGGAATTGATTCTCAACTAGAAAATTTAAGGTCAAACTCCCATTATTGGACACAAGATGAGCCTAGTAATGGTATTTACATGTTGGGGATATATGGGATTGGAGGCATGGGTAAGACGACTTTGGCCAAAGCTTTATACAACAAAATTGCTAACCAATTTGAAGCGTGCTGCTTTCTATCAAAAGTTAAGGAAGTTTCAAAGCAATTCAATGGCCTTGTTCAACTACAGGAGCACTTACTCCATGAGATATTAAAGGAAGATTTAAAGGTTGGCAATCTTGACAAAGGAATCAACATCATAAAGAATAGACTGCGTTCAAAGAAAGTTCTTATAGTTGTTGATGATGTGGATAAGCTTGAGCAGTTAGAAGCATTGGTGGGTGGACATGATTGGTTTGGGGCGGGTAGTATGATCATTGTGACAACAAGAAACAATCGTTTGATTTCTACCCATGAATTTGATCAAAAGTATGGTATTCAAGGAATGAATCACAATCACGCCCTTGAACTTTTTAGTTGGTATGCTTTTAAGAAAAGTTATCCACCAAGTAATTACTTAGACCTTTCAAAACGTGCTACAAGTTATTGTAAAGGTCATCCTTTGGCTCTTCGTGTTTTGGGTTCTTTCCTTTGTACCAAAGACGATCAAGTAGATTGGAGAAGTGTATTAGATGAATATGAAAACTCTTTGAGCAAAGACATATTTGATATTCTTCAAATAAGTTTTGATGGGCTTGAAGAAAAAGTAAAGAAGATTTTCCTTGATATTTCTTGTTTTCTAGTAGGAGAGAAAGTTGACTACGTTAAGAATACTTTAAACTCGTGTCATTTCAATCCAAATTTTGGAATTTTAGTCCTTGAGAATTTTTCACTTATTACGATTGAAAATAATGAGGTGCAAATGCATGATTTAATCAGACAGATGGGTCATAAAATAGTTAATGGTGAATCTTCCGACCCTGGAAAAAGGAGTAGATTGTGGTTGGTAGAAGACATTTTAAGGGTGTTTGATAATAATTCGGTGAGTAACACTTACCCTAACTTTCTTTAATTTACTTTTTCTAATGCTTTGTGATGAATAATGTTTGTACTTACGAGTTTGTAGGGAACTGACGCAATTGAAGCCATAAAGTTGGAGTTGCACGGTCCAAAAATTCGAGATGTGGATCCACAAGCATTCAGAAAAATGAAAAATTTGAGATGGCTTTTTGTTCGAGATATAAGATTTTCTAAAACTCTTAAATATCTACCGGAAAACTTGAAGTTGATTAAATGGCATGGATTTACTCAAGAATCTTTGCCGTCATGCTTTATTACGAAAAATCTTGTTGGATTAGATTTGCAGCATAGCTTCATCAGAAATTTGGGAAAAAGGTTAAAGGTAATAATATTTTTATTATAATAACATTTTTATCCAAATTATGTTAGATGAGTATTTACTCCTTTTCTTTTGGTTTCTTTTCTATACATTTTAGGAGGGTAAAATGTTGAAGTTCGTTGATCTTAGTTACTCTACTTTGTTAGAGACAATTCCAGACTTATCCGCAGTACCAAACCTTGAAGAATTGTATCTGAAAGAATGCACAAATTTAAGAATGATTCATAAGTCTATTAGATCTCTAAATGAGCTTGTTATCTTGGATCTTGAAAAATGCTCCAACTTTAGAAAGCTTCCGGGCTATCTTTCACTGAAATCTCTTAGATATTTGAATCTTTCTCATTGCAAAAAGCTTCGGGAAATTCCTGACTTCTCTATGGCAATAAACCTTGAAAGTTTGTATTTCGAAAAATGCACAAATTTAAGAGTAATTCACGAGTCTATAGGATCTTTGGATAGCCTTGTTGCCTTGAACCTTAAACAATGCACTAAGCTTGAAAAGCTTCCAAGCTGTCTCAAGTTAAAATCTCTTAAATATCTCGAACTCTCGGGTTGTTCTAAGCTTAAAGTGTTTCCAAAAATTAGTGAAAACATGAAATCATTAATGTCGTTGTATTTGGATTCTACTGGCATAAAGGAGCTACCTTCATCAATTGGAAACCTTATTGAGCTCAAGGTCTTAAACCTTGACGATTGCACAAACCTCATCTCCGTTCCTAGTACAATTTATTTGTTACAGGATCTTCGAGAACTTCATCTTAGTGGGTGTTCTAGATTTGAAATGTTTCCCTATAAATGGGAATTACCAATCCATCCAACATGCTCTTCTTCAAATTATGGAAACTTACCCACAAACCGTATGTTTTCCCATTTTACTTTGTTGGATCTTCGAAATTGCAAGATATCAAATGTTGATTTCTTGGAAATTTTATGTGATGTCACCCCTTTCTTAAATAGCCTACTCTTGTCGGAAAACAAATTCTCTAGCCTGCCCTCATGTCTCCATAAGTTCACGTCCTTGTGGAATCTTCAATTGAAGAATTGTAAGTTTCTTCAACAAATTCCAAACCTTCCTCAGTGTATACAAACAATGGATGCCACTGGTTGTGAATCGTTGGCAAGAAGTCCGGACAACATTTTGGATATAATATCAAGCAAGCAGGTTCATCTCTTCTCATTTAATTTTTCTTTGTTCATATTGCATTTTTTCTCTTGTTAATATTTCTATGCATGTTAATTCTTATGTCATAGGAGGATATTACACTGGGTGACTTTCCTAGAGAGTTCATTCTAATGAACATTGAAATTTCAAAATGGTTCAGACATCAGACTATATCAAACTCGATAAAGGTTAGCTTTCGACATGATTATAATATAGAAAGAACTTTGGCTACCTATGCTATGATTAGAGTGGATGGAGATTCATATCAAGGGGAAGCCTTAATTTCATGTAACATATTCATCGGCTACAAACTCCAAAGTTCTTTTATGAGAAAATTCTCATCATCAATATCAGAATATACGTGGTTAGTAACAACTTCTTCTCCAACATTTAGTAGCTCTTTAGTGGCGAATGATTGGAATGATGTTATAGTATGGTTTGAAGTTGTAAAATGTCGTGAGGTTCATGTAAGTATAAGAAGCTGTGGTGTCCATCTCATTGAGGTCCATCGGATATCCCAAAATGATGTTAAGGGGCCAGGGGTAATGTATACAGATTTTGATGACATAGAGGAATTGCCAAGCCGGTAAGCTTACATCCTTGCCATCTTGATTGATTGGTTTCTAGTAAACTATGCTTGTTTTCATATATATTATTTTCTTATGTATGATGTTGATAATGACGTAGGGATGTTATCAAATCCTTCGCTCAAGAAGTCTCCACCATATCAGATTGCGCTGCAATGTTGCATGCACGGAACTTCCCAGCTGAAGTTGATTCCAAAATACAAGTTACGAACTTTCCCTTACATGTAACATCTTATGGCGTTACATGGATAGGTGGCATGGAAGGCATGGCAGAGACGACACTCGCCAAATCTATATTTGATAAACTAATGAACAGAAAGGATAGAGATGATTCCTTTGAGAGAAAGGCTTTAAATAATTGTGGTGGGCTTGTTGAAATGAATCAACATGGATGTCAGGGTGTAAGTATTGAAGCTGGATGTGGTATTACAAGTATTAGATTGTCTTCCCAAAAATATCTCAAAGTTTTTGAGAGTGAGGTTAAATTTCAATATCTGAACGGTACGGGTCATGCAGAGAGACTTTTGAGTTTTTCCGAACATTTACGGATGGATAATGTAGAAGAACATTATCTAAGAGAGTAGCCTTGTTAGAGATGTATGGAAAAGTTAGAAAGAGCCTTAAAACTCCCATAAAGTTGTAAAACGTTTTAGTAGATATGCTTCTTTAGAAAAGAATATCATCCATCTAAGTCATTATTTTCATCTTTCAACATCTTCATAATCAGTTTTATGGAAGGAGAGTTCTTTTGTTAGCGAGTTGTACGTTGAGGAAATATTATCTTCAAATTTGTACAAATTAACATTTTTATTGACCCATTTTTTAATTAAAAAAATTATTTATGCACCTCGATTAAAGGGGTAGTTTTAGAAATCGAATAATGAAAAAAAGTGGAGTAAGAAAATATTGAAGAGAAGTATTATGTCATTCTATTATACATAGAATTACATTTTTATACACGGTCAGGAGAGTTATATTTATGGATATAAATAGTTCATCCAAATTGATCATTTTAATATACTCTAGTCAAAATCTTATTAATAGCCAACTAAAACCAAATTAGCTAGTGGGTGGAGTCTTGTTGTTCTAGTTTTGAAACAAATATTTAAATGAACTACTTATCTTATATGGGAAAGAGCTAATTATATCTTATGGAATACAAACTATTTATAGTTTCCTATATGGGAAAAAGCTAATTATATCTTATGAAATTGTATTCTTGGAAATCAAAAGATGACCAGATAAGTAGTAATTTGTAGTTTGCTCAAGATTGAGATTGAGTGACGTATAATCATTTCGTAAGATATTTATCTTCTCAATTAAAAAATTGTGAGATCTGATATCGATTGAAGAGGGAAACAAAATATTTTTTATATGGACATGGAAACCTCTCCATAATAGACGTTTTAAAATGGTGAGGCTAACAGTGATACATAATGAGTCAAAGTGGACAATATCGGTTAGCGTTGGACTTGAGCTGTTATCAATAATATCAAAACCAAACACTGAACAATGTACTAGCGATGAGCTAGGCCTGTTATAAAATAAATTATTAAGGATTGATAAAACATTTATTCCATACTTTAACTCGGATGTTTATTCACTATTTGTTTCATTAAACAATGCTACACTTGAGAAAATAAACTAAAATATTTGAAGAAGAATTGGCCATATGGAAGGACCAAGAAATAACTACTTTGCTACATTTGAATGAGAATAAACTAAAATATTTGAAGAATGAATTAGCCAAACATGGAGGTGAAGACGGAGAAGCCTTCCATTATTTCATTCTTCATTTCGGCTAATTTCGGCGAAGTTTCTAACGTAATTTGATTTTTCAATATAATCTTTATTAAAAAATTGTAAAAAAAATTCTAATAAATCCATATATTTCCTAAACAAATATTATATTATGTTCTACTGATTTAATTTGAAAATCAAAATTTTAAGATTACAACATAGTTTTTAACAATTAAAAAATCTACAACATAGAGTTTAAATATACAATTATATTCTCAAAATTAACTAATTCATTTTCTTAATATAGCCAACAAAAATATATATATGTTGAAAATATATTTATACTAAGCGGTAATGGGTGGAGAATATAATCTCATCCCTACCCCATTTATCTAACGGAGAAAAATGTTTCGCATTCCCTTTCTGTCTAAACAGGAAATTCCCTCCCCGTTTCGGTTGGACCCAGTTCCATCAGTTATACGAAAACAAACCGGAAGTTTTAGAGAAGTATTGTCTAAACATCAAACTGAGTTCAAGACGAAAATCCAAATTTGGAGCGAAGCTTTAACTAGTGCGGCCAACTTGTTTGGTTGGCATGTGAGACAGGGTATATATTCTTAATATTAGAGGATTCATTTTGTCTCAAGATGCAATCTAACTTGTCTACTATTTCGTCCAATTCTTATTTTTAACTTTAGTATGATTACGTGCTTGACAATTTATTTTATTCAAGACATTGTTAAAGTGTTGTGTATATTAAAACGCACTTGCACACCCTTATATGTAGAAAGTACAAAGTTTCACTCCCCGCCACAACCTAAAATGCTCTAATACGAATTGTGGTAATGGAAGCGGAAGCAAGATTGATCTCACTCACATACCCACCAACAAAAATTAAACAAAGAGATACAAAGATTTACGTGGTTGAGAAAGAAAAAATTATTTATCTCATACGCAACAAATTAATAAAAATGATCAGATAGTTGGTCGATACTTCCACTCACATGGGTCCTCAATAATACATTTCTTTCTCTATGCTTTCATTTTAAATCGAAAGAATCGAAGAAGCCTTAGCACACATGGAGGGAAGCTCTAACAAGTGAACTAGGAACTCCTTAAGAATCAATACATAATAAAATAATGGTAATAATATATAATAAATATTAACATTATAACTTATTAAACATGTTTCACATACGTCTGCCGACAATACTTTTACAAAGTTTAGAAAACAAAAACTCGTGTGTACCAACTAGGATTTATAGAAACTACCACACTTTTGTTGACTTTTATGCTTCCTTTAATTACGATGTTAATGGTAGGGCCTCAAAGAAATTACAAGGCAAAGAGAAGTGATAAAATTATTCAAAGCCAAACGTTTGATTCGCCACTTATTCCATACCTGCTCTGTAATCTTCAAAGTGTTTCTTCACTTTTCGATGGATTCTTCTATTGCTATGACACAATCACCAGCTCTTTCTCCAAATGATGTGTTTTTGAATTTTAGAGGAGAGGATACGGATCCAACTTCACCGGTCATCTTGACATGGCCTTGCGGCAAAAGGGAGTCAACGTCTTCATTGATGACAAGTTCAACAGGGGTGAGTTAATCTCTGAATCCCTTTTCCGATCTATAGAGGAAGCTTTAATTTCTATTGTTATATTCTCGAAAAATTATGCATATTTTTCCTGGTATCTGGATGAATTGGTGAAAATAATCGAATGTAAAAAATCTAAGAGCAAGATAGTTTGCCCAATTTTCTATAACGTGGATCCATTGGATGTCGGAAAACAAACCAGGAGTTTTGAAGAAGCATTGCCCACACATCAAGATAAGTTCAAGATGAAAATCCAAATTTGGAAGGATGTTTTAACTGCCGCTGCCAACTTGGGTGGGATCTAGGAACTATGTATATATTTTTAAGCCATTTAATAGCATTCCATATCTATCTTCTTAATTTTAATATGATTACATGGTTAATAAGAGGAATGAGGTTGATCTTATTAGAGAACTTGTTAAAGAAGTATTGTCGATATTAAATCTTACTTGCACGCCTTTATATGCAGCAAAGTATCCAATTGAAATTGATTCTTAACTAGAAAATTTAAGGTCAAACTCCTATTAATGGACACAACATGAGCCTAGTAATAGTGTTTACACGGTGGGGATATATGGGATTAGAGGCATTGGTAAGACCACTTTGGCCAAAGCTTCATACAACAAAATGGCTCACCAATTTGAAGCGTGCTGCTTTCTATCAAAAGTTAAGGAAGCTTCAAAGTAATTCAATGGCCTTGTTCAACTACAGGAGAACCTACTCCATGAGATATTAAAGGAAGATTTAAAGTTTGGCAATCTTGACAAAGGAATCAACATCATAAGGCATAGACTGCGTTCAAAGAAAGTTCTTATAGCGGTTGATGATGTGGATAAGCTTGAGCCGCTAGAAGCATTGGTTAGTGGGCGTGATTGGTTTGGCCCTGGTAGTGTAATCATTGTGACAACAAGAAACCATCATTTACTTTCTATCCATGAATTTGATAAAAAAGTATGGTATTCGAAGAATGAATCATGATGATGCCCTTGAACTTTTTAGTTGGCATGCTTTTAAGAAAAGTCATCCACCAAGTACTTATATAGACCTTTCAAAATGTGTTACAAGTTATTGTAAAGGTCAACCCTTGGCTCTGGCTGTTTTGGGTTCTTTCCTTTGTACTAGAGATGACCAAACATATTGGAGAAGTATATTAGATGAATTTGAGAACTCTTTGAGTAAAGACATAAGTGATATTTTTCAAATAAGTTTTGATGGACTTGAAGAAAAAGAACCGGAAATATTCTTCGATATTTCTTGTTTTTCAATGGGAGAAAAAGTTGACTACATTAAGAATATTTTAAACTCATGTCATCTCAATCTAGATTTTGGAATTATAGTTCCTGTAGATCTTTCACTTATTATGGTTAAAAATCATAAGGTGGAAATGTATGACTTAGTACAACAATGGACCATAAAATAAAATAGTCAATGGTGAATCGTCTCAGCCCTAAAAAAAGGAGTAGATTACCGTTAGAAGAAGATGTTTTAAAGATGTTTATTGATAATTGAGTGAGTAATTCTTACCCAAGCTTTCTTCAATTTAATTGTTTCCAATACATGGCGATGGAAAATGTTGTTAAATTACTAAATTTATGAGTTTGTAGGGAACTGATGCAGTAAACTCATAAAGTTGGAGTTACCTAATCTCACAAGACTAGATGTGGATCCACGAACTTTTAAAAAAATGAAAATTTAAGACTACTTATGGTTCGAAAGGTAAGATTTTCTACAAATATTAAATATCTACCGAATAACTTAAAATGGATTAACTGACATGCATTTACTCAGGCCTCTCTATCGTCAGGTTTTATTACAAAAAAACATCGTTGGGTTAGATCTATAATATAGTCGCATCCAAAATTTTGGAGGTTTCTTTTATATTGAACTTTTTTGTATGGGTAGCTTAAAAAAAAAAAAAGTATATGTACAAAAAAAAAAAACCAGTTTATCTGATAACAAATTCTAGGAAATAGATAATTAAATAATTGTATTTTATCTAAATATACATTAGATTGTATTTAATTCCATTATGTATTATTGTTTTTCCATTTATTTTAGGATGGTAAAAGGTTGAAGTTGCTTGATTTGAGTTACTCTAACCTTCTTATCTTAGACCTTAATCACTATTCGAACCTTAAAAAGCTNTAAGCTACCGCACGTTGAAGTCTGAAGTTCAAAAAAAAAAAAAAAAAAAAAAAAAAAAAAAAAAAAAACTTGAGGAACTTCCAAACTTCTCTTAGCATCAAACCTTGAAAAATTGTATTTGAAAAAAATGCACAAATTTAAAAATGATTCACGAGTCTATTGGATCTTTGGATAAACTTGTTCCCTTGGACCTTGAAGAATGCTCTAACCTTAAAAAGCTTCCAAGCTACCTTTCATTGAAATCTCTTAAACATTTGAATCTCGATCACTGCAAAGAGCTTCAGGAAATTCCAGACTTCTCTGCAGCATTAAACCTTCAAAGCTTGTATCTCGAAAAATGCACAAATTTAAGAGTGATTCACGAGTCTATTGGATCTTTGGATAATCTTGTTGCCTTGGACCTTAGATATTGCAATAAGCTTGAAAAGCTTCCAAGCTACCTCAAGTTTAAATCTCTTACATGTCTCGAACTCTCAGGCTGCTCTAAACTCGAAATATTTCCAAAAATGGTTGAAAACATGAAATTGTTAGTGTCGTATTTAAATTCTATCGGCATAAAAGAGCTACCTTCATCAATTGAAAACCTTACCGGGCTCAAGGTCTTAAACCTTGAGGGTTGCACGAACCTCATCTCCGTTTTTAGTACAATTTATTTGTTATAGAATCTTGAAGAACTTAGTCTTTGTGGTTGTTCTAGATTTCAAATGCTTTCCCATAAATGGGAGTCAGCCAATCCATCAATTTAGAAATCATTGTATTACTATATTTTATATTTGATTGCAACGAAATCTTTTATAATTTTATTTCGAGTTACCAACTTCTCTTTTTTTCTTCATTTTGGATCGGAAAATAGAAGAGTTGCGTGAATCAAAAATACAAGGGAGGTTCATGGCCAAGGGTAAAGATGCCCGAGTAACAGTTATTTTGGAATGTACTCGTTGTGTTCGAAACGGTGTTAATAAGGAATCCGTGGGGATTTCCAGTTGGAAACTTACCCAAAAACCCTATGTTTTCCCGGTTTACTTTGTTGGATCTTCAATATTGCAACATATCAAATGTAGACGTTTTGGAAACTTTATGTGATGTCAACCCTTTCTTAAACAACCTACTCTTGTCAGGAAACAAATTCTATAGTGTACCCTCATGTCTCCCTAAGTTCATGTCACTTCATGTCCTCGTCGTGAGGAATTGCAAGTTTCTTCAACAAATTCCAAGCCTTCCTTAATGTATACAAAGAATGGATGCCACTGGTTGTGAATCGTTAGCTAGAAGTCCAAACAAATTTTAGATATAAATATCAACAAACAGGTTTATCTCTTCTCATTTTATTTCTCTTTGTTCATATTGCATTTTTCTCTCTCGTTAATATTTCCATGCATGTTAATTCTTACGTCACAGCACATTACACTAGGTGAATTTCCTAGAGAGTTCATTCTAATGAACATTGAAATTTAGAATGGTTCAGTCATCAGACTATATCAAATTCAATAAAAGTTAGCTTTTGACATGATCACAATATAGAAAGAACTTTGGCTACCTATGCTAAATTTTGAGTAGATGGAGATTCATATCGAGGGGAAGCCTTAATTTCATGTAACATATTCATCGGCTACAAACTCCAAAGTTCTTTTATGAGAAAATTCTCATCATCAACATCAGAATATACGTGGTTAGTAACAACTTCTTCTCCAACATTTAGTAGCTCCTTAATGGCGAATGATTGGAATGATGTTATAGTATGGTTTGAAGTTGTGAAAGGTCGTGAGGTTAATGTAACTAATAGAAGCTGTGGTGTCCATCTCACTAAAGAGATCCATGAGATATCCTAAAATGATGTTAAGGGGCCAGGGGTAATGTATACAGATATTGATGACATAGAGGGATTGCCAAGCTGGTGAGTGAGCTTACATCCTTGCCAACTCGATTCATTGGTTTCTTGTGTTGTTTTGAGTAAACTATGCTTCTTTTCATATATATTATTTTCTTAGGTATAATGTTGATAATGGCACAAGGATGCTATCAAATCCTTCACTAAAGAAGTCTCCGCCAAATTAGATTGCAATGCAACGTTGCATTTAGTAAACTTCCTAGTTGATAATGATTCCAAAATAAAACTTATGAACAACTTTCCCATGCATGTAATGGATGGTATGGCAGAGACTACACTAGGCAAATATTATGCGATAAATTATTGAACATAAAGGATGAGTTCCATTCCTTTGGGAGAAAGGCTTTGAATGAGTGTGGTGGATTTATTTTAATGAATAAAAGGGGATTTTGTGAAGGATCTCAAATTTGTATCAGAAGCAATAGACTGCCTTCCCAAAAATATCTCATAGTTTTTTAAGGTGGGTATAGATTTCACTATCTGAACAATGCTGATGATGAAGATGGTCATTTGAATTCTTCAAGATTTTTAAGGATTGATGATGCAAAAAGAACCTTATATGAGAGAGTAGCCTCATTGATAATACATGGAAAAGTTAGAAACACCCTCAATACCCCCAAAAGTTGTAAAGCTTTTTAGCAGAGACATGCTTCTTTGGAAAAGAATATCATCCATCTAAGTCATTAATATATCTTTCAACATATTCACTAGTTTTGATAAGAATCACGGTGTTACGGAGAGCTTAATTGATTTCAAGTCTGTCGTATTAACCACTCAAGCACATCAATATTTGTTAGAAAAAACTATGTTTAATTTTATAAATGATGTAAAAGTCAAATGGCCAATTTGACTTATTCTGTGTGGAGATTAGAGGGGATCGGGAATAAATCTCATCCACAAACATCTCGAATAAATCCCGTCCACAAACGTCTTTTGTCTGGAGACTATAAATACCCATAATATGTTATGTAAAATTCAGATAGACGTTTCCCTTGGAAATCCAAGTATCATATTTGTCATTTCTAAGTTTCAAGCAATTAGAATTGCACCCGAGTCATTCAATCAAGCCTTGATTAAGTTAGATTGTGGAGGGACTCAATTTAGAACAAGGTTTCCAAATCTTGCTTCTAGATCTTCGATCGTAAGAGGTAATCTAATTCTAGCCTTATCTCTTGGTTGATCCAAATTTGGTATAAGGAGGTGTTAATTACTTTGATTCAAATTCAAAGGTTCTTGTTTCAACAAAAGGTTGGTGTTAAACCTAAAATAGATCATAACTGTATATACTAAAATAATCTAAGATTTGAAGGGTTTGTTACCAAATCTATGATTTCATGGTTTGTTATCAAATCATAGATTTGGAATCTAATCTTCATTATACACATCTATAAATACATGAGGTCGTGACCCATATAGGTCATCGTGCCATTCAATCTAACATGGTATCAGAGCCGAGGTTTATTTTTTAAATGTCTACCATGTCTTGTTCCTCCTCTCCATCCACCATCTCCAACACCGTCACTCGTGCTCGCACTACTCAGATTCGTGTTGAGCTCGCCACGTCCAAGAAACGAGATCAATCTGCTGCAAATTATTTTTGCAAGATCAAAGGGCTAGCCACCGAGCTGGCCGCCGCCGGCTCTGCCTTGCAGGATGATGATGTGATCGCGTATCTTCTCGCTGGTCTTGGCCCAGACTATGATCCCTTCGTCACCTCAATGACTACCAAGAGTGAAGCCCTCACGCTTGATGATGTGTTTGCACATCTAATGATGTATGAAGCTCACCAACTACAACACCAGGCTGAACTTCAGTTAAATTCGGGATCTTCGGCCAATTATACTGGTCGTGCTGAACTTCAGTTAAATCTTGGATCTTCTGCCAATTATGCTAGTCGTGGTGGTCAGCAAAAGAATCGTGGGCGTAGGGATCGTGGTCGTGGTCG